GGGGGGGGATCGCTTTTGGGACCACCCCCCCCCCACCCCGTGTCCCTGTCCTTGTCCCGGTGCTGGCCGCGGGCCCGGAGGAGCAGCTGCCGCCGGGCTAAAAATAGCAACGATTTGTTTTTTGGGTTTGTTTTTGGGGGGGGTGAGGGCGCGGTGGGGGTTGAGGTGACGTTTTTGGGGAGGGGGGTCACCCCAAATCTCGGTGTGTCCCCCCCCAGGCATCACCAACCCCAAGCTGCCCAAGGACGGCGCCAAGCACTTCACCTTCGACCACTCCTACTGGTCCCACACCTCGGTGAGCGCTGGGGGGTCCCGGGGGGGGTCCCGGGGGGTCCCGGGGGTCCCTGACGGCCTCCCCCCGCAGGAGGAGGACCCCAACTTCGCCTCGCAGCGCCGCGTGTACCAGGACATCGGCGAGGAGATGCTGCAGCACGCCTTCGAGGGCTACAACGTCTGCATCCTGGCCTACGGGCAGACCGGCGCCGGCAAGTCCTACACCATGATGGGGCGGCAGGAGCCGGGCCAGCGCGGCATCATCCCGCAGGTCCGGGGCCTGGGGGGGCTCCCGGGGGCTCGGCGAGGGGGGGAGACCCCCCCCGACCCCGGCCACCCGGGCTGAAGGCTGCTCGCCCGCAGCTCTGCGAGGATCTGTTCGCCCGCATCGCCCGGGAGGGGTCAGCTGAGCTTTCCTTCTCTGTGGAGGTGAGGGGGGGTTTGGGGGTTCACACCGTCACCCCCAGTTTGCAGACCCCCCCAGATAATTTGGGTGTTCAGCCCCTGCAGATTCGCCCCACACCCCCACAACCCCCCGGGCCCCCCCCCCCAGGTGAGCTACCTGGAGATCTACTGCGAGCGGGTGCGGGACCTGCTGAACCCCAAGAGCCGGGGGGGGCTGCGGGTGCGGGAGCACCCCCTGCTCGGGCCCTACGTGCAGGACCTGTCGCGCCTGGCCGTCGCCTCCTTCGCCGACATCGCCGACCTCGTGGACAGCGGCAACAAGGCCAGGTGAGGCCGGGGGGGCCGCGGGGGCTCCCCCGAACCCCGCGGGGTGGCCCAGGCGCCGAGGGTGCTGCCGAAATTCGCCCCGCAGGACGGTGGCGGCCACCAACATGAACGAGACGAGCAGCCGCTCGCACGCCGTGTTCACCATCGTGTTCAGCCAGCGCCGGCAGGACCCGCTCAGCGACCTCAGCTCCGAGAAGGTCGGGGAGGGGTCCCCGTGAAATCACCCTGAAATCTGCCTGGAATCCTCCCTGAAATCACCCTGAAATCACCCTGAAATCTTCCCTGAAATCTGCCTGAAATCTTCCCTGAAATCACCCTGAAGTCACCCTGAAATCACCCTGAAGTCACCCTGAAATCCCCCCTGAAATCTTCCCTGAAATAACCCTGAAATCCGCCCTGAAATCACTCTGAAATCATCCTAAAATCCACCTGAAATTACCCCCTAAAATCACTCCTGAAATCACCCTGAAGTCACCCTGAAATCCACCCTGAAACCAGCGCCGGCAGGACCCGCTCAGCGACCTCAGCTCCGAGAAGGTCGGGGAGGGGTCCCGAGGCTCGCCCTGAATGCGCCCCACCCGCTGCTGGGTCCCCGTGAAATCACCCTGATATCTGCCTGAAATCTTCCCTGATATCTGCCTGAAATCACCCTGAAATCTGCCTGAAATTACCCTGAAATCCCCCCTAAAATGACTCTAAAATCCAACTGAAATCACGTCCTAAAATCCCTCCAGAAATCACCCTGAAATCCCGCCTGAAATCACTCTGAACTCTGCATGAAGTCACCCTGAAATCACCCTGATATCCCCCCTGAAATCACCCTGAAACCACGCCCTAAAATCCCTCCTGAAATCTGCCTGAAATCACCCTGAAATCTGCATGGAGTCACCCTGAAATCACCCTGAAATCTGCCTGAAATCCTCCCTGAAATCACCCTGAAATCACGCCCTAAAATCTCTCCTGAAATCACCCTGAAATCTGCCTGAAATCCCCCCTGAAATCACCCTGAAATCTGCCTGAAATCCTCCCTGAAATCACCCTGAAATCACGCCCTAAAATCTCTCCTGAAATCACCCTGAAATCTGCCTGAAATCCCCCCTGAAATCACCCTGAAATCTGCCTGAAATCCTCCCTGAAATCACCCTGAAATCACGCCCTAAAATCTCTCCTGAAATCACCCTGAAATCTGCCTGAAATCCCCCCTGAAATCACCCTGAAATCTGCCTGAAATCCTCCCTGAAATCACCCTGAAATCACGCCCTAAAATCTCTCCTGAAATCACCCTGAAATCTGCCTGAAATCCCCCCTGAAATCACCCTGAAATCTGCCTGAAATCCTCCCTGAAATCACCCTGAAATCACGCCCTAAAATCTCTCCTGAAATCACCCTGAAATCTGCCTGAAATCCCCCCTGAAATCACCCTGAAATCTGCCTGAAATCCTCCCTGAAATCACCCTGAAATCACGCCCTAAAATCTCTCCTGAAATCACCCTGAAATCTGCCTGAAATCCCCCCTGAAATCACCCTGAAATCTGCCTGAAATCCTCCCTGAAATCACCCTGAAATCACGCCCTAAAATCTCTCCTGAAATCACCCTGAAATCTGCCTGAAATCTCCCCTGAAATCACCCTGAAATCCGCCTGAAATCACCCTGAAATCACCCTGAAATCCTGCCTGAAATCGCCCCCTAAAATCCCTCCTGAAATCACCCTGAAATCTGCGTGAAGTCATCCTGAAATCACCCTGAAATCCTCCCTGAAATCATCCTGAAATCATCCTAAAATCCCCCCTGAAATCACCCTGAAATCATCCTAAAGTGCCCTCTGAAATCTGCTTAAAATCTCCCTTGAGATCACCCTGAAATCCCCCCTGAAATCTGCCCGAAATCCCCCCCGAGTCCCCCCAAAATTCACCACCATCTTCCTCCACCAACCAACAATTCTCCCCCCTCCCTCAAACAGCCCCCACAATTCCTTTGAGCCTCTGCCCCAGAATTGCCCCCCAGACCCAATTCCACCAAGCCCCCTCCTCGAATTCCCCCCAGACCCCCTCACGCCCCCGTTTCCCCATCCTGGCCTACGGGCAGAC